TGACCAGAACGGAACAGGAAGCTCCAAACCCACCTGTTACCTTGGCGGGAAGGGGACCTAGGCCACCAAAACAATTAGCAGAATAAATATCTGTGTGGGATGTAGAATGAATGTACCCACCATGAAGGTTCCCAGACACAAGGGGCCTTCTCAAAGTCCTGTCTGAGGCCTCTCCTGCCTCATTGTACCTCGGCGTATTGTGGGAAAGTCACCAATAAAGAAACTCCATTCTGGTGCCCTTCTTTCTGTCTCGACATTACTGTGATTGCCAGGAAAACTATACAAAGTGCTCTGAACTCCTAGTCTGGGCTGCGATTTCAGGTGATTACCTAATTGTGGCACGTTTTGACATTCAGTAATTGGATCTCTTTGCTTTGTTGCTTGAAGATAGTTTTGGTGAGATTGACAAAGTGAATTCCCTTACAACACGATCATGTCACTAAAGGTTATGAAGAATGTCCGAACCCTACAAAGCATAGCAAGTATCAGCATGAACAGATGAGTTCATGCAGCCAGCAGAACAGAGGCTAATTCAAGCATCGTTCAATAGGTTCTGCCAGGTGCTTAATTTTTCGACTTTAAGAGAATGGTTTTGCCCCACCCCATGACTGTTGTTTTCATTTTACTGATTGTCATCATTATTATTTTTCCATATTACTAAGGAAGAAACTAGAGCTTGGAGTGATCTAGTAGATTTCCTTCTGTCCATTTGGCAGCGGATTCAGGATTTAAGCTCTTCTGTGTGACTTTAGTGACCAGCACTAGACTCCCTCCATGCCTGATTCGACGCCGTCCATGGTATTGTGTAGCAACCGGGACTTTTTCAAATGTGTAATTGGCAAGGCTTTTGGGGGCTGTACACATAATTTAGGCTAATATGTGTTGGTGAATTTCTACCTTCTCCCAGCTGAGTCCCTGGGTTTGGTTTTTGCTGTTTGAATGGATCGGATGCTGGCTTTCCTTTCTACCATCCAGAGGCTTTCTGAATCACATTAAGAGTGCTCAGTGTAAGCAATCCCCATTATGGTCCAGAGCCTTAGGGGAATCACCCTGGACCTGTGTCCTAGCAACATCCCTGAGAGTTACACAGAAGCCAAACCATCTGCTGCCAGGAAGATGCTACAGTGGAAATGGATAGGAATTGGTAATGAAATACAGAGTCTTTGGGCATCATCATTACCCAGTTTGATTATTCACCTATAAATGGCAAAGAGCAAATGAGAAGAACAGCTTGTATTATCTAAAAGGACAAGATGTTCAGCATGCTTATCCGTCAGTGTGGTTTCTGGATATTTTCTTGCTCAGTTACAGAAATGGCCCCAATGAATATGAAACACCTCTATGCTTGTGTGTCTTGAAAGGTAAAGTGTGGGTAAGAACTTATGAGGAAACTTGGCATGTTGCATTTGTTTGTTCGTGATGAGGAACCCAGGCCTCATGCTTGCAGAACTTGAACTTGGCTGCTGAGCAGCATCCCTGGCCTTAATTTTGGGGGGTTGTTGTGTGGAGAGACCCGAGAGCCACAGACAGTGGTGTTAGGGCGGCCATGCATTGCCCCTAATTCATAACCCAGGGCCCTGTGCAGCCCTTTGAATGATCCCCAGTCCTCACATGGTACATTTGAACATGAATCAAACTTCAGATCGCTTAAACATTTCTGTTGACATTCTGTATCTTTCTGTTAACGAAGCAGGCTATTTTTGTAATTTTTGTCCTTTCTCAAATGTAAGCATTGGTATCATACCTTCTGTCATCTCTTGAGATTTTTTTCTTTTCTTTCTCTTTTGGATTCTTGGGCCACACCCATGGTACGCAGGGCTTACTCCTGACTCTGTGCTCAGGGAATCACACTGGGTGTCAGGAATGGAACCTGGGTTGGCCACGTGCAAAGCTAAAACCCTACCTGCTCCACTACGGCTCAGGTCATGCTTTTCCTTTTTTTCTTAGTTCTATGCCCTTCCTGAGCCCCCATATCTTTTCATGACGTGATAGCCCATCCTTTTTACTGCTAGGTCGTCCATTGTGTGGATCTGCCACAGTCTCTCTACTCACCTACTGGAGGCAATTTTTGTTGCTTGCAAGTTTTTATAATTATACTGAACGTTGTTAAAACAGTTGTATGCTGGGTTTTTTTGTAGACAGAAGTTTTCCATTTATTTGGGTAAATACCAAGGAGTCTGCTTGCTGAATCAGATAGTAAAAGTGGGTTTTGTTTTGTGAGAAATGCCAAACTGCCTTCCAAAGTGCCAGTGCTGTTTTACATTCACACACTTTCCCTGGCATCTGGTGTTGTCTGTGGTTTGAATCTCAGTCATTCAAATGGATGTATAGCAATGGCTCCTTGTTGAACCCTCGTTCTTAGTCAGATGTGTTTTGCAAGGAGCTCTTTCAGTCTGGCTTGATTTTTCTGGGTTGTTCTTTTAATAGTCTATATTGAAATGTAAAATTTAATTATAGCTTAACCAAAGTTTAGAGACAGACATCACTAATTTGGTATGTGTTTCAGGGAGGAAGCTTATCTTTGTGACTTCTTTGTGAAAACAGATTTCCCACATTTGAAATTCACTGATAAGTTCCTTCTGTTCATACACCACTCACCGCCTTCCCCAGGCCTTCAGCCCTATATGTTTTAAGTGGCTCAGGTGGAAGCAGTTGAAACTCTCAGGAATAAAAGTTAGCAACTTATCTGCATTCCATTTGTTTGTTTGCTCGTTCATTTGCTTGTTTGTTTAATCCACAGGTGATCTGCTACAGCAGCCATCCTCCAAACTAGTCAGTAATTCAGTGAATCTGCTAGGACTTGTGCTCTGTGCCTTGTAAAATACTTTTCATAATTACATTGTCATTCTTTGGAATTCAACCCAGCTTTCTAATTATTCCTAATATTTTTCAAAATTACTGACCACATTAGATTGCCTTTTGTTTTGCTCTGTCTCATTAGCCCTTCTTGTAAGCAACTCATTAAACCTGTATTTTTGGAAGGCCCGCACCAGGGGGTGCTCAAGGGGCATCCCCAGGGAGGTGCTTGGGAATAATGAGTCTTGGGTATTGGGCACACTGTGCCAGGCCAGGGATCCAACTCGTGGCTCCAGTGTCTATGGCCTTGGACCTGTCTCCTCAACTCTGTTTGTCTTTTTAACAGTCCCAGCCCCTGAGAACTGGGGAGTCACTGAAAGTAGGCCAAGTGGTTTGTTTTTTCAGTACCCATCCTGGTGCTCAGGGAGCCATTTGGACCAGGAATTGGGTCCCTCATTGAGTTATCCACGTAGACCTCGCTCCTCATGGGTTGGGCCATCTGTCTTTCTCTCTTTTAAACGGTAATTAATTGATGAAGTTTTGCTCCTTGTTCAGCAGTCACTCCTGACCCATTGCTCAGGGACCACTGCTGGAGAGTACTTGGGGACCATACATTGCCAGCGACCAAATCTGGTTTTCTGGGTTCAATGCATGTCCGCCATTTAAGGAATCTCCGAAGGCCCCCAAAATTTTCATTTAAAGTCAGGTGAGATAGGTACAGCAAAATTTATTGAGATTCACTTTTCCAGAGTGTCTAGTTTTTGAAATACACACACACACACACACACACACACACACACACACACACACTCACACATTAGTTGTCTAGCTGGATATATAGAAATAAGAATATTGTGTTTGATCATGAAAATAATTGTATTATCTAAATAACCACTTGCATTAAATGAAACTCTGATTTTGTTTTTTTTTTCCCCAGTGGATTTCTTTGCCCAGGCAAAGTTACTTATTTTAGATCCAAGGTCAAATAGGAGGTCGAGCCAGTACTTCTTTAAATGTTTGATTTTTTGAGGTAGTCCATTATTCCTAACAGATTAATGTACAGCTGCTCCAGGTCCACTGATGTTGGAAGACCCTGGAGCACTCTGTCCCCTGCCTTCTCTCGAGCATTTTCAGCATTCTTTAGGGATGTATGGTAAAGAAATGAAAAATACATCTAAAATGTGGATTTTTTTTTTAAAATTTCAAGTAACCACAAAACTCAGTAGTTCGTATTGAGCTATTTATCATTGTCTCCTAGGTGTCTAATTTATAAGGTTTCTGAATTAGACTTCGGGGCCTATGTTACATTTTATTACAGTCTTCAATATACTTGTAGACTGGCAAGAATTCAACTGAAAGCTTGTAGAACAGCTGTTCCTCTTCTGAGGGCTTGGTTAGAAAGGCTTAGCTTAGCTTACCCTGAACCTTGATTAAAAAGCAGAGCCTAGAAGCCTTTTCACTAACATCCTGCATTCTCTGATCAGAGCTGTATGTTATTCTGGCGCCTGAGTCCACATAATTTAGCGTTTGGAAGCGCCTTTGGGACATCAGGAGCATTTTGATCTTTACCACTTGGGACAAAAATGATCATGTTCCCCAGGGATTTTAAAGGCAGCTGGCTAACTGGGATCAAGGTGTTGCACAAACCAGTTCTTTTTGTTCACAGTTGGTTTTTCCACAATCCCAAGTGTTCTTTAGACTCTCACTACCAGTGTTAAAACGCGTCTCACTATTCCTATCCTTTCTCTATCCCAACTGCCTTCTCCTCCAGCATAAGTCAGTGATGGTTGGAGAGATCGCTTGGGGTGAGAGATGTGTGCTGAAAGTAGACAAAGGACCAAACATGATGGCCTCTCAGTATCTGTATTACAAACCATAATGCCCCAAAGTAGAGAGAGAGAGTAAGAAGGAAAGTGCCTGTCAGAAAGGCAGGTGGTACAGTAGGGAGGGATACTGACAACATGGGTGATGGGAAATGTACCCTGGTGAAGGGATGGGTGTTTGATTATTATGACTGAAACTCAATCATGAAAGCGTTGTAATTATCTCACGGTGATTCAAATAAAAAAATTTTTTTTTAATAAAACACGTTTCAGTAAGGAATTTTAATTTTAATTAAGTGAAAGCTTCCTACAAGAATTGCTGGGTGTGTTTGGGATTGCTTTTTTTTTTTTTAATGTCTTGCCACACTTTCTTTCTCCCAGGCTTGCAGATGGGTCAGGGGCTGTGGAGAGTGGCCAGAAACCAGCAGCTCCAGCAGGACGGCTATAGCGAGCAAGGCTACCTCAGCAGGGAACAGAGCAGGAGACTAGCTGCGGGCCCCATCCCCAGCAGCGGGCACCGGAAGCAGGTGCAAGGGGGCATGGATCTCTATCATCTCCTCAAGGCCAGGAAGTCGAAGGAGCAGGAAGGGTTCATCAACTTGGAAATGCTGCCTCCCGAGCTTAGCTTCACCATCCTCTCCTACCTGAACGCCACAGACCTCTGCTTAGCCTCATGCGTTTGGCAGGACCTTGCCAACGACGAACTTCTCTGGCAAGGGTAAGTGGAGCTCACCTGTAGGATTCAGGTTCTGTTTGACATCCTCGTGCTTCAATAGACTTGGCTATAATAGTATGAGATGTTTCACTATATTGCTTTAAAAAAAAATTCTTTTTTGAAGTCTGTAAAGATGCAGTTTTCCTAGGAAAATGTGATACCAGAAAAAGTAAACAAGTGCCCCAAGCAATAAATAGAGGGTAGGACTCTGGCCTTGCATACAGCAGACACATGTTCAATCCCCAGCACCCCACCTGGACCTATCTATAAGCCTTTCTGGGAGTGATCCCTGGGCACGGAGCTGGGAGTGAGCCCAGTGATCCCTATTGGATAGCACTGGGTTGTTCTTGCTGCTCCTGCAGGGAGCTTAGGTTTATTGAGTCACTCCCACAACAGTGCAATTGAGGTATACCCAATTCCACCAGGCACTAATAATCCTAACCTGCTTTTCTCTTTTCTTTATTTCATTTGTATGGTTTATTTAGCAGTGTCCTTTTTGTATAGGCACAAGACAGTTGATGCTATGTTAACATGGGGATTATGTGACTCCAAAATAATATTTACTCCTGGACACCCATATTTACTTGATTTAAGCCTCAGTTGCCCTTAGTTCCTAGCACTCCAAAAGCAGGGTCGCAGCAAGTGACTGATAGACCCAGGGCAAGCTGTGAGCTACCCTGACATTGAAATGGGCCAGGCTAAGCGCCACAGTACTTAACTATATGCTAAGAGCACAGTCATGGATAGTGCCCCAGAAGAAAGAAAATGATGGGATTTACAATTAGAAGAGAGGTTACCAATTAAGGTATGTCCATTCACTAGAATGCATAGCTTTTCATCTTATTCTGAAAATGCAAGGTGTGAAAAGAGAATTTAGAATTCTAAATGGAGACAATTCACACTGCTGTGTTTCCTGTGTGAAGAATGAAAATGATTAACAGTCCCCAGATACAAAATATTCCCCAAACCTCACTGTTTCCTTGGTGGTAAATGGAGTGGATGGTGTCTATTTATTTACATACTTTTTTTTAAAATCAGAAGTATACTTCTTCGCCTAAAATGTTAACTGATAAATATTTCAGACTTTATTTTTTCTTCTAGTTGCCATCTCATCAATAAAGTAGGCAAATAATACTAAGGAGATTTGAGAACCAAAAGTAGATATAGAAATTTTAGCAGCTGTTCTAACAGTTCAAATTTAAGTTATACATCTGAGAACTTTAGATGGAAAATAATCTGTTTTGTAGAATCTAAGTGATTTCTTGTATAGACTAATAGAATTGAATCTTGAAAATGTTGCCCAATAGAAAAACTGACCTGTTTTTTAGCATCTTTGCCAAGTCTCATTTTTTTTTTTATTTTATTTACATTTCGGTTTGGGTGTCACACCTAGTGGCACTCAGGGATTACTCTTATCTCCATGCTAGGTGATCATTCCTAGAAGGGCTCAGGGTCAGGAATTAAATAAGGATCTGCAAGCAGCCTACCCTCTGTTGATATCTCTCTGCTCTCCCCCAAGTCTTATTATTTTAAAATGGGATTTTATAAGAAGGTACAACATAACTAAAACAAAAATATTCTTGGAACTTTAATTTCAAACTGAAAATGTGATGGTGAATTATCTAAATTGCCAAATTTCCAAATGTGAAAATGTCTTGTTGACAAAGACATTCCTCACTCAGGCTTCATGATTCCGCAGAATTTTCACTGTCACTGTCACTGTCCTCCTGTTGTTCATCGATTTGCTCAAGCAGGCCCAGTAACGTCTCCATTGTGAGACTTGTTACTGTGTTTGGCATATCAAATACGTCACGGGTATCTTGCTAGGCTTTGTCGTGCGGGCGAGATACTCTGGGTAGCTTGCCGGGCTTTCCGAGAGGGGTGGAGGAATTGAACCTAGGTCGGTCGGGTTGGCTGATTGCAAAGCAAACACTCTACCTGCTTTGCTGTCGCTCTAGCCCTGCAGAAGTATAATGTTAATAATATGTTTTTTTTTTCCTCAACCACTAAATAACAAAAATCATAAGTCTCTTGTCTCATTGTCTTGTCATAGGGCATGTTCTGCAGAAATGTGAGGAAATTCTGTTAGTTGCATTTAAATTATAGCTGTGAACTAGAAGAAGAAATGGAAATACTTTAAAACTGATTCATTCTTTTTTTATAATTACTTCATTCTAATACTTCCAGAAAACAATTTAGTATTTTTTTGAAAAGAAAAGAAATGTTTATTTCTAAGCTTATCTGAACTCAACCAGAATGTAAACTTGAATGGAGAATAAAATCTACATTTCTCTTTTCTAAAAGAAATACAGATTGTTTACCTCATTATTATATTTGGTTTATTTTCCTGTGTGTTTTTCCTGCAGTTATTTTTAATTAAGAGCTAAGTTGTTGTGAAGACTAGCTTAGGTCTTAAACTTTGAATGTTTTGAATACTTGTCTTGAGACGTTCTGTTCCTTTCACATAGTTTAGTAATAAATCAACATCTATGGGATTAGATTTGAAAGGCTGCTCAAATGATGCAAAAGAAAATTATTAGGAAAGAAATTTATTAAACTTGATGTTTTAAAATATATTATTAATTAATAAAAATTATCTGGGCTGGAGCGATAGCACAGCAGTAGGGCGTTTGCCTTACAAGCGGCCAACGTGGCCGACCCGAGTTCGATTCCTCTGCCCCTCTCGGAGAGCCCGGCAAGCTACCGAGAGTATCTCGCCCGCACAGCAGAGCCTGGCAAGCTACCCGTGACGTATTCAATATGCCAAACACAGTAACAACAAGTCTCATGATGGAGACGTTACTGGGCCCGCTCGAGCAATTCGATGAACAACGGGAGGACCGTGACCGTGATGAAATAAAAATTATCTAAGAATCTAAATGCACAACTTAGATAGTCTCATTTAATTATATATTTTCCCATTATTCTTAGCAATTTTCTTTTCCTGTTGTTTGGGTTTCAATGGGTTTTGTGTTTTTGCTTTTTTGTGCTGGAGGCCACATCAGCTGTACTCAGGACTGACTCCTGACCATGCTCAGGAGTCATTTTGGTGGCACTTTGGGGACTATATACAGTTTCAGGGCTTAAACCTGGGTCAGCTGCATACAAGGCAAGCACCTAAACTCCTATACTATCTCTCACACCCAATCCTAACATTTTTCAATGTTGTGGTTTCAATACATTTTTCTTGCTTTTCTGTGTGTTGTTTGCATATAAAAATGAGAGACTTGGGGCTGAAGAGATAGTTTAGGGATTAAGGCCCTGGCCTTGCATAAGCCAGCCTCTGTCTGATCCCTAGCACCCCATATGGTCCCCAAATACCTCCAGGAGTGATGTCTGAGCGGAGAAACAGGAGTAAGCCTTCAGTGTGGCTGGAGGTGACCCCAAAACCAAAAATAAAATAAATAAAATTTAAGAAGTTTGTGGTAGAAATCAATAATGAATATTAGAAAGTGAAATTATTTGAATGTTTATCTTTTTAAAAAAATTATCTGGTTTATAGGCCAAATGCTGCTGTGCTCAGGGTTTACTCCTGGCTCTGCACTCAGGGATCACTCCTGCTGGTGCTCAGGAGAACCATATGAGGTACCAGGGATCCAACCCCAGTCAGCCGTCTGCAAGGCAAGCACCAGGCCCAGTGTACTATCACTCTGGCCCTATCTCTTTATTTTTTTAATAGAAAAATCAGATAACTTTGAGACATTCTGTCACTGTCACTGTCCTCACGTTGTTCATCAATTTTCTCGAGCGGGCCCAGTAGCGTCTTCATTGTGAGACTTTGTTGTTACTGTGTTTGGCATATCAAACACGACACGGGTAGCTTGCCAGGCTTTGCCGTGCGGGTGAGATACTCTTGATAGCTTGCCAGGCTCTCCAAGAGGGGCGGAGGAATCGAACTCGGGTCAGCCATGTTGGCTGTGTGCAAGGCAAATGCCCTACCTGCTGTGCTATCACATCAAAATAAAATTTTAGTATTCTCATTCTCTTTACGATAATGTACTTACATTTAATGATCTGTGATGTATAGTGTCTATCTAGAATTTCTAAACAATGTAATATGCCTTTAGTTTTTAAATAATAACCACACACCTCTGTTAAGATCTAGGAGCTGCTATGTTGATCTGCAACAATTTATTCTGCAGTATAGACTTTTAGATTTTATAGACCTTAAACAAAAATGCACTGGAATATTATAAAGAACCAGTGTTTTGAGGCAGTCCCTTAAAACACCTATGCTTAATCTCACAGCTTTTGTGGTACACATTGAAATTTTAAGTTTTAATTTCTGTTGAGGTAATTATTGAAGGTAATTAGGTAATTATAGGTAACTATAAATACTTGGTACTATAATTTAGGAATTCTGTTACCTGTTGTTAATATATGTTGTCAAAACAAAAATGTTCTCCTGGGCCAGAGCATTCATACTGCAGGTAGGGTGTTTGCCTTGCACCCGGCCAACCCAGGTTCAATCCCTGTCACCCTATATGATTCCCCAAGCACTGGCAGTAGTGATCTCCGAGTGCAGAGCCAGGAGTAAGTCCTAAAGTTTCTTCCTCTGTTCAAAGTCTTGTTCTCCCATTCAGGTTCACTGGACAGTAGAGCTCATGTTCTTCTATAGATCATGTTTCATATCTTATTTGAGATTTCAAAGATCTCACCACTACATAAATTTACTAGGCAACTTTGTTTTCTTTGATTCTTTATTTGTAGATCTGGCCTCACAGGATTTCTTTAAAAGATTAGGCCAGTTATTATTTAATGCTTTAAATAATGTCTGGCATGTGTGGACACTTGGTAAATGTTATTTTTTCTTATTAACATATGTATTATAATTTCTATATACCATATAATACCTTATGCTTAGCTTCAGCCATGTTCACAAACACTAGTCTTTGTGTGCTAGCAAAGCTGCTAAATTAAGGGTATTTGTATACTGTACTGTAGTTAAAAAATAAGTACTTTATAAATAAATACATAATTAAAATCTTAATTTTATAACTATGAAACATACTTTATATAATTTTATGTACTTCTTATCACATATATGCATTTTTAACTCAAATGTAACCATGTTATCCTACTTATCCAATGTAACCAATTTATTCTACTTTTACAGGTTGTGTAAATCCACTTGGGGTCACTGTTCTATATACAATAAGAATCCACCTCTAGGATTTTCTTTTAGGAAATTGTATATGCAGTTGGATGAAGGCAGCCTCACATTCAATGCCAATCCAGATGAGGTAAGTAAAGAACCTGAATATTTATGACATTCAAACTTTATCTCGCTGTTGCTATAATTTTCCAATATAATAAACCTAAGAGTAAAAGAACATGGCTTTGAATGGACCTTTTTTTCTTTGTTAGTCTATCTGGGCCCACTCCCAGCGATAATCAGGGATTACTCTCACCTTCTGCTAGTGGTCACCTCTGGTGATGCTTGGGAACCATGTGGTGCAGGGTTCAAATCAGGGCCGCTGGACCGTCTCTCCAGCCCTGAAATAAGCCTTCCAGTCACTGTGAAGCATGGTATTGGGGGTATGTCTCCATGACGGTCATTTCTCTGTGACCTTGCCATGGCACATTCTAATCTTTCCACAGACACAGGGTCTTGCTCTTCTCTACCTGATTGAGATTTTCCTACCTGGCAGACTGAGAAAGGGCATAAAGGACATTCATTAGGATGGGAGGACAGTTCAAAAGGCCGGAGCACAGGGCCTGACTTGCAGGAGTCCCATAGTACGATCCTCGGTACCACAGGCCCATCCCCAACTTTCACTGCCTCGTAGAGTCCTCGAGAGCCCCACGTTGCTGGACTTTGAGCACTGAAGTGCCAGGCCACCACACCTGGGCCAGCAGTGGCCGGGAACAGCTCAGTCTTTCCGATCACTGCCTGAGAGGCTTCTCCCCCCAAAAAAAAATATGCTCACCGAATTTTATCTGCCGTATTCACTTCCTAGATTATTCTTTCTCTGTAGTCATGATGCTGCTTTGCTGGAGAGCCAGAGGCAGTCGTACAGGGGTTCTGACTGTACGTGTGAAGCTCATGCCTTCCCACTATCTACATCCTCTTTATAATGGTCTTTCACTAGAGAGAGGGACAGGGAAAATGTTAGTCTGCAACCCATTATAATGCTAAGTGCTGCTTTTTAACACCCTAATTCTGTGCTGACAAAACTGTTTGTATAAAATCGAGTAAGTTTGGGGTTGGATATTGAATAATGCATTTCTTTTCAAATTACATACGAATGACCAAAATCTTAAGACCATTCTTTCACTTTTTTAATTATTTCACTCTTCACAATTCATCTTGAAAGAGGTTCATATTCTCAAATGTTTAAATGTTTTCCGGAATTCCTTTGTGTGATGGAAACCACACAATAGTACAAAACTGCTACTATTGTGAAGATTATTTTCTATGGAGAAATTTAACTGATAGTATCTTAATTACCTAATTAAAAAAAAATTTTAGTCTTGACTTTCACTGTTATTAGAAAAATTTCTCCCATGAAAAATAGGGAACATTAAGCAGAAATATTGATTTTATGACATAGTATGGCATATTTCAAATATTAGATTTTAGGGGCTGGAGAGATTACACAGTGGGTAGGATGCTTGCCTTGCACGCGACTGACCTGTTCAGTTCCTAGAACTATATATGGTCCCCAAAACCCCACCAGGAGTGATCCACGAGCACAGAGCCTGGATTAAACCCTGAGCACTGCCAGGTGTGACCCAAAATCCAAAAGAATAAGTAATAAATAAACATAAGCATTAGATTTTATTTTACTTAAGTTTTTTTCTCTTTATCAGATTTTTCTGATCAAGGAGTAAAATTATACGTAACACCATTGCAAAGGTGTCTTGGTACACATTATCAATTAAACCCGGCAAAGTATGTATTATGCAGCTTGATACAGTGTTCAAAGGAGAGTATTCTTTCCTTTGATCTGTGTTTCAGTGTTTTCTTTCAGTGAATAACAGATGAATACTTTCAGTGACATCAAATGATTTATGATCAAACTAAGCAATGGAAGCCAATATACTATATGAATTTAACAGATTTTCCTTAGAAGTAGAATAAATACATGTTATAGTAAATGGCTTTTTTAATGATGCATTTTGTCAGAAATTACCCTTGCTTTTACTTTGTTCTTGGTCAGTTCCAAGTTCTTTCTATACTAGGTAGTAGCATTGGAGGTAGGGACGTGTTAAGTCATAAAACCAATATACTATATGATTTAATAGGTTTTCCTTAGAAGTAGAATAAATACATGTTACGGTAAATGGCTTTTTCAGTAATGCTTTTTGTCAGAAATTACCCTTGCTTTTACCTTGTTCTTGGTCAATTCCAAGTTCTTTCTATATGAGGTAGTAGCATTAGGAGGTAGGGATGTGTTGAGTCATATACCATGGTGATACCTACTCTCTGTGAGAAATTAGGCTCCAGTTCTCTGAGCATCCAACCACATGGTTTCAGAGATTTCACTGTTCCTCATTAGACTCAACTATTACTTATTACTAACTGAAACAGTCCACAGCACAGGCAGTATACAGTAGGCTGTCTAGTTTTGCATCCATCTCTTAGGCTTATTGGATGATGGTTATTGAACTAGAACTGAGACAAAACAGTCCGGTTTTTCACTTGAGCCACAAAAGGATCAAGTTGGGCAGCGGCTCTTACAAGCCCCCCCCCCCTTCTTATTATACCCAATTTATAAAGGCGTTCTGGTTCCTGTCATGGATATGACTGAAATTTAGTAAAACTGTCATCTTCAATGCATATCACTCGTAAATGTTCCCTTCTAAGGAAAATGTAACTTGGTAAGTACTGGGTTATAGATTTCTAAGGTCAGAAAAGTTGGATGTAACTGCTGATATCAGTTATGGTAAGTAGTCACTTGTTGCGAAAGGAATCCCAGTTCTTTAGCATTGAAAGCTATAGAACTGTCCTTTCAATGCAAAGATGAGAATATAGATAAATCATCATGTACTCAAATTTAATGTGGGTACTTCTAAATATCTAAATGAAGAGAGGTAGATGACAAAGTAGGTTTCCATCTTTGCAGCTGCATATATCAAATGATAGAGTTCTTAGTATCTTCTCTAGTGCTTGGAGGAGGGGAGCAGAGAAAAGAGGCAAAATTAAAGGTTTTTTTAAAAAAAAATAATAACAAGATTTTAAAACTTTGAAATATTTACTGTGAGGAGATTGAGGTTATTAATTAAAACAAGATCTTTAGATTTTACTTTTCCATCCTTCCTCCCAGGGTTGTTGAGAGTTGGCTGTATTTTCTGTTTCTTCACTCCTTGGCCTGCTTAAAAGAATATTCTGGAGCATTCCAGGAGTATTGAACCATTCTGAAAGGGCCATATGTGCTGCCAAGAGACATTGACATAGTCATTCAAAATGACATGTGGTTCCAGAATTTTGATTCTGTGCTTTCAAGAACATTTTTAATTTAGCAAGTGTTGCCAGATAACAAAATAGAGTTCTATCATTACCAAAATTCACTTAGGATATAAATAGGCAAAAGGCATTGTGAACTACATGTAGGCACGGGGAAAAGAAAGTATGTTATAATTCTATTTGATACTTTCTTTCATTGACTAATACAATTCATGTATAATCAGTTATAAATAATCACTATCATCTTAGTTGTTTATTTAAGTCAGACCTTCAAATTTGAAATAATGTGAAAATTATCCTAAGATCTGTTTTTATAGAGAACTTACTGATATGGCTGATACTTTAACCACATCTAGATTGACAGGCCAAATTTTTGAAAGAAGCTTGGAAATCAGAAAGTATTTCTGAGGATTTTTTTTTCCCCTTTTTTACCCACTCAGTGGAACACTGTCATCAGATGTATTTTTGGTTTCATTTAAACCTAAGAAGTAAATTTGTTTTATGATATGTTTAAATGTAAGTGGTGTTGATTTGTAAGTACCTGAGATGATTATGTATATAACTGTTCAGTATTGTAAACAGTCTACTTTTCCATAATTTCTAGTTCTGTACAACATTTTTATAGCAAAGCATCATTAAAATATTATAAAAATAAGAATACTTACAGCCACAGGGAACAAGATTCTCCAAAGGACATCGTGCATATCATGGATATGGGTAACCAAACTCCACAGCAGCTGCTGCCAGTGGCTCATGGGGTGGGGGCGAACACCTGCACACTTCGGGGTACGATTATCTGGCACGCTGTCGTGATATGCATGAAACTGTGATCCCAGCTATATGTCAAGTCTTGATCTTGTGCATGAGCTTGTGTACCTTGTGGCAGGCAATCACATTCTGGTAAAGGGATGTGCTAAAACCTCTGTCGACGGTAGGCTGTATTCTCCCCCTGCATGTACCAGTGAAGTGTGTTGGTCTTATTACTCTGGCAGAAGTCTAAGAAAGTAATTTTACTTGTAAATCAGTAAGCTCTATGCCCTGTGCTCTGTTTGGTATTGAACATTTTCTTGACAGTTATTTGAAGATTTGGACTGTGAAAAATTGGTAGTGAACATGGTTTAACTCTTTGTTTTCCTTCTTTTTTTTTTTTTGGTGGTACAAAATTGCTTTCAGTTACTTTTTTTAATATCACTGGGGTCAGGTAAAAACTTTTTTTAAGTATTCTTTTCCTGTAGTCATTCAGATAGAACCACATGCATATAGTTTTATGCGTTTTACTGGATTAACAATCTGGGATAAAATCTATTATGAGAAAGATTTTAAATCTGACCCATGTCTATGTATCAGATGGAAGTATGTAAAGAATTTATCTTCATGATAACATTTTTTATTGGACCATCTAAAATATAAACAGGAAATTTGTAGGAATTTTCCATTAGAAAAAGTAACTCAGGAGTTTCTACTTAATTCTTTTGAATATCTCAGATATTAAATCTTGCTGACATTTTCCTCCAGCATATAGCAGCCAGATGTTCATTGCCATTATTTTATAGCACAAGAACAATGATTAAGAAAAACAAAACTTCCCCCCCCACCCCATGAATAAAAACCCCTCATTGATATCTTCAAAATGAATAGATAAGCCGTTCCCAAATGTATCCTTCGGTATAATTATTCTATGGATAATAGGCATAGTCAAAGGAATTCCTAAACCTACTACATTTGATCATGGTAGCTTATGGTTAGTTGACTTTTTTACAGAGTAACTTTTCAGAGCTTTTTATCCTTTTGTTGCAAATTATCTCCAAGAGGAAGATGTTGTGTCTAGTATTA